AGATGGCCTTCAAGTGGTGCTCCAGATGTTTTGGGATTGCACCCAAGGTGCCTATTACTATTACTATAAACTATCTTTGCTTTCTTTTGCCATAGTTGTTCTACTTCTATTTGCAGGTCTTTGTATTTTATGATTTTCTCCAGTTCTTTCTTTTCTGTTCTGCTGTTGCCAGGTATTGCAAAGTCCACTATTCAGACTTTTTTGTCTTTCTTATCAACAATTGTTAAGTCTGGGGTGTTGAGTGACAGGTGCTTGTCTGTTTGAATTCTAAAGTCCCAGAGCACTTTAGTTTCTTCATTTTCTGTTACTTTTGTCTGTTTTGTGGTCCCACCAGTTCTTGCTTACAGGCAATAGGTATTTCTTGCAGATATTCCAATGTACCATTGTTGCTACTTTGCCGTGCTGTGGTTTGTAATTAGTCTGTGCAATCTTCTTGCAGCAGCTGACTAGGTGGTCCACTGTTTCTTCAGCTTCTTTGCAGAGGTGACATTTTTATGTCTGTTGCTGTCTTCTCAATTCTGGCTTTATATGGATTTGTTCTCAAGGCTTGGTCTTGTGCAGCCAGAATAAGCCCCCCCCCCCATCTCTTTCTTCAACTTTCCTGCCCTTAGCTATTGTCAGGTCTTGTTGTTATCTGCTTTGCCTGCTATTTTTTTGTGTACTGGCCATGTAATACTTTGCCTTGCCATGCCTTTTTTCTGTTCTTCATTTGATCTTTCTTATAGGACAGTTTGGTCTCTTTGGCATTCAATAAACCTTCATAGTGTAGTAGCTTCAGTGAATTGCCATGCCTTTTTTCTGTTCTTCATTTGATCTTTCTTATAGGACAGTTTGGTCTCTTTGGCATTCAATAAACCTTCATAGTGTAGTAGCTTCAGTGAATCTTCTTCACTGTCCTTCAGTTATTCTTCCAATGCCCTTTTTTCTTCTTCAACTGTCTAGGGTAGTTGTAACTTCCATGCCAACCTATGCGCCTTGGTAAGTAGAGTCTGTCAACATTGCTATGTGGATGAAGGGCAAGATTCATTGTCATTATTTTTCTGGTCTTCCTATCCAAGGCTTCTAGTTCAGCTTGAGTCCAGTCCACTATTCCAGCTGTGTATGTAATAAAGGGAATTGCCCAGGTGTTAATTGCCTTGATAGTATTTCTACCACTGAATTTGG